TGCACTGGCCGTTTCCAATTAGAGCATTGTAGCACTCCGGCGTTACAGAGATGTGGCAGCACTCGGTCTGAGTGTGTGTCTGATGCCACACTCCTGATGGGCCAGCTGGCTGTGTGTAGCTGGGTACTGAGGGCCTCCCCAGCAGGCCCTGTGGAGGTTAGCAGTATTTGGAGACAAAGACTCAGCACAGGTTCCCGAAACCTACAAGCACCGCTAAAAATGCACACCGTGTGGGGAATAAGCCATTTGTCACTTGTGATAAGGGTACTGGAGTTAACTCAGTTTAAGGAGAGTTACTGCCCAGCCTGCTGTCGCTAAAGTCTACTCAACAATTTCATTCCCTCCCTCCCTCTTCTGTTCCTCTCCCCTGCAAGAAAGAGAGTACTTCAGAAGTGATTACGTTTTTAGTGTTCTTTTTTCAGTTGTTTCAAGATACACTTTTTATGCACACAGGTGCTCTATCTGCACTCATTGCCCACAGACTAGAAGAAGGCATCGGATTGTGAGCTGCCATGTGGGTGCTGGGAACTGAACTCCTGTCTTCTGCAGGAGCACTCAGTGAGTGCTCTTAACCACTGAACCGTCTCTCCAGCTCCTTAAACGCTCTTTCTAAATGAGAATCTGTTCTTTTGGCGTTCTCTGGGGGATTGTTTGTTGCAATGCTGAGGATTGAACCCAGGGCCTTTCATACAGTATATTTTTCCACTAAGTGACGTTCCAGCCCCACGTAGCTTGGCTTGTGTAGCAAGACCCGAGCCTTCATCTTTACTCACCCACTGTCTCCCGGCCTTTATTGTGACATGGGAAGTGGCCTAGCAATGCAGCTCTGGCCGTGGGGGCCAGGCAGGGTCCACTTCCCCAGGCAACGGCATCACATCAGAAGCATATTCATGATGGGAACATATGCATTTTCTGTATTTTTCTAACAGCTTCTGAAGTGTTCATCAAGCCTTTGTCTGATTAAGCACTTTTAAATTCTGAGCAGAGAAATGGGCCCTCTCAGACCCTCTTGGCAGGAGTGCAAATTGATACAACCCTTTGGAGAGCCATTTGGCTGGATCCATCAAAATTAAAAATGCATATAATCTTTGACCCAGAAACACCACTCAAAGACTTTATCCTGCGGGAATACCCTGCAAGGCCACAAAAAGTATGCATAGAAATTTGGTTCTTTGCAGTTTAGTTTGGTGTAAATCTGCAAACAACCCAGGGCAGTGGACAAAGAGGGAGGCGGAGAGCCATCAGCGATATGGGATACGCAGTTTGCTTGCTGTCTTAGGTCAGCATGACACAAGCTACAGTCACTTGGGGAGAGGGAACCCCATTTGGAAAAATGCCCCCACCCGATGGCCGGTGGGACATTCTTGATTGGTGATGGCACTGAAGGGCCCTGCTCACTGTGGCCGGTGCTGCCCTTGGGCAGGTAATCCTGGTCCCTTCATGGCATCTGCTTCAGTTCCTGCCTTGAGTTCCTGCTCTGCCTTCCTTCAGTGATGGAGTTGTAACCTGGGAGTCCTAAGATGAAGTAAGCCCTTTCCTTTCCTCTGCAGGTTGCTCTTGGTGATGGTGTTTCATCACAGCCATAGAAACCCAAGACACCGAAGCATCTACACTGAGTGAGCTCCAACTAGGTGGATAGTCAGAGGGCAGCCAGGGGACAGTGAGACATGAGAAAGAAAGGTGTTCCTGTTTCAATAAAGATTATGACGGGCCAGGCATGGCAGGGCGGGCCTGCAATCCCAGCGTTCAAGAAGGTGAGAAAGGAGGATCAGAGGTCTGAGGCCAGCCTGGGCTACATGGGAAGTTGTTTGAGGCCAGCCTGGGCTACATGGGAAGTTTGAGGCCAGCCTGGGCTATATAGAAAGCCCCTCTTGAAAATGAAGAAAAGGAGCTCAAGGGAGACAGTAATGGGTTCCATTCATATCTTCTTAAATTAGACTTAAAACCTCGAGCTATCAATGAAATAATCTGAGAATCTTGGGCCAGTTTACTTTCCATGGGCCAAAGCTAGACCTGTGGTCAAATCTAAGCTCGGGGGAGAATGAGCTTCCTCCCAGGTGGGTGGGAGTAACATTAAAGAGAAACAGCGTTTAAAACAGGAACAAAATCTGTGTGACAAGCCACAGAACACCGGTCCTCACTGGAATGTCTTTGTTTCAGTCACCTCTGCTATTACAAATGAGAATCAAACCGGACTTCTGCAAAAGTCCTGAGCTAAAACGTCAGTACGGAGAGCAGCGTCTCTTCTTTCGCTTTGGAATGTCTGTGGGGACAGCCTCAAGATGGGAAGAGAACACTGGCCTCTTTATATACTTCCTTTCTCACAGAGCCCGGAATGGCCTCCAACCTGCTGTGTAGTGGAGAATTGCCCCCCCCCCTTTCCTCCTGCATCCACCTCCCAGGGCTGGAGTTTTCATGTACTAGAAGACTTCTGCCCTATGCAGGGCTGGGGACCACACCCAGGGATCTGTGCATGCTAGGCAAGCAGCGTATGAACTGAGATCGATCCAGACCCAACGCCCTCTGCTTTCGTGCCTGAAAGCACAGACTTGGGGAGGCCGAGGCAGGAGGATTGTGAGTTCAAGGCTAGCCAGGGCTTCACAGAAAGGCCTCACCTCGAATAAACATAGTAACAACAAAAACCCAGCTCAAGTCAAATCTGCAGTGCCTCTCACCCAACACATAGTATTTTTAAAATCTGTGATGGTTATTTTTGTCTTCAGACCTATCACTTACATCCGATGACAAAGGTTGGACCTTTGATTTATTTGTGCTTTGGGAATTGTCACCTAGCTGCACTGAAGCAAAAACTGACCAAGTCATGAATGAACAACCCAGACCCATCCGCCAGTCTTGTAGCGTCTTGTCTTTGACCTCACAGCTGTTTCTGATTTTGTTTCTTAATAATTAAGCAATTACACAGATGTTTTGAAGGTTCTCTTGTTACTCCTTACCCATCTTATCCCTTCCCAAGCCTGACCTCTGTCTACAAATAGTATTTAATCTGCCCATGCTTGCATTAAATGTTCACTCTCACATTTAAACCGTTACAAAGAATATCTGGTCTGGAGGTTGCAAAGTTATATAAATGACACCAAGTCACATGTGTCCCATGCAATTAATTTCTTTCTACTCTATAATTTTTTGATCATTTACCCCCAATGAAACATGGGCCCTAGCCACTCCCTGTCTGCCACAGCATGTCTATTCTGTTGATGGACACTTGAGTTGTGAAGCATAAAGAGAGTCAAAGGAATGTTCTTACATACTTATTTGAGGACCTTTGTCCTTGTATGGTCCTGAGACTAAAACCAGAGCCGCGCGCACAATAGGCAAATCCAACTGCTCAAGATAGACTTCCCAGTCTCTGAAGAATCAGAAGACAAGGTGTGGATGGTTGAGCTTCCAAGCATTCTCTCTGCACGGCCACTTGAGCCAGGAACAGAGGCACACCTACTCTTGCTTGGCTTGCCCCCGAAAAGTGCATGCTGCTCACGCTGGGGACTTCCTATTGTTCTCTCCTGGTCAGGATTGGCGAGAGCCTGAAACCGAGCAGGGAATGAAGGCGCTTCATCCTCAGGCAGCCATTTTCCTAACAGATGCAATTACATCTGAGTGTCATAGAGAATGAGACCTTGTGTTTTATTTCTTTATTCATCATTCTACAAATGGGCTTCACTGTAAAAAGGAAATTGCCTTTGTAGCTCAGTTCTTTCTGCTCCATGCTGGAGGGCTCCGAGCTTTGGATTTGATACCAGCTGGGGCCTCCGCCATCTTATTGCTGATGGGAAGGAATGAGCCAGGGAAATGGGAAGGAAATCAGGCAGAGTTTACTTAAATTCAATATATTTTTATTCTTTGTAAATACAATGAGTACAACCTTTTGACTTCACAAATCAGTTAATTCACTTTGTACAAGAGAAGTTTGACTCATCCTACGCTAGTCCAAGTGCTGAATTCTGCGCCCCCCCCCCCTTGGTGCTAGTACCTAATAAATCAAAATGTGGAAAGTACGGCAGCTATTTAAAAATGTTTGCATCTACATTTTCATAAGTATAGATTCATACCCAAGGAGCAGCTTAGAGTATAGGACGGTGTGTGTGTGTGTGTGTGTGTGTGTGTGCGCATTCAAGGCTTTATTTATTAGAGTTCTCTGAAAGGCATTCGAGAGCCCCAGGCTGTTAGCAACGGAAGGATCAGGGTCCTGTTGAGCATGCATCTCCTTGAACTTCCTGCTGGCTTGCATATTCATGTACCATCGGGTGTGACCCGCTGACCATACGGCCTTTGGCTTCAGCACTGTGATGAGGGACAGCGATCAGCATCCTGCGGTCAAGGGTTCCACTTTATTTGGTTTTGCTGTTTGGATTCATCTTCTCGACATCTTCCAGCAGAGCTCTTGTGGTTTGAGATGCTATCCAACCCGAAGTCTTGGCGAGAAATTCCTTTTTGTCATCAGCTCCTTTGATGAGGTTGCCTGGCCTGTGGTGCTAAGAGAAAGAAGAACGGAAAAAAAAAAAAAAAAAAATGGGGGGGGGGATTACACAGCATAAACTACATTTCACTTACTTGGTTCTGAAGGCCACTTAATGAAGTATTATGATAGAAGGGAAACTTTTGATAATAATACTTTTGATTTAAGAACCTAAGCATTATTTTTGAAGTTAATGCTCCAACCCGACCGAGCTCCGACGGCTTCAGTATGATGGATGATACACAAAGCTATGGTTGATCAACTGACTTGTGCTAAAAAAGGGACAGAAAGTGGGACTTGGCTTGCAACTTTGAATGGTTCAGCCGGATCTTCCAGGCCAGGGGCCGAATGGCTGGCTCGGCCTGTGGTGGCCCCAGATCACCTATCCCAGAGCAGGGCGACGATGACAGTTATACCATCTGACTTTCCAGCCGTGGAGCAGTGGGTCATCGCTATGGTTGAATGCCCACTGGCATTTTTCCTGAAGGCAACTCATTCCCAGGATTCTCTTTCCAGGAGGGTTTGTTAGTTGAGGCTCTGTCCTGCGTGGTAGAAGTCTGTCCGCTACTGCCCCGTTTTGGAGCGTGGGCGCTGGGGACCTTAGATGTCACTGGATTTGTACATATCTGAAAGCAGTCTTGTAATCGGCACGTTGCCAATGGTTTTTTTGAAAAACACTTCTTCTATGGTGGATGGGCTAATTGAACGTAAAGCTGGTAAAAGCAACAGGAGTTTCCCAAACCGGCAGGGTTGAGTGGGGTATCTGCAACAGGAGAAGCCATGAAAGCAATGTCAGAGCCCCACAAGCACAGACTAACACCTTACACTTGGACCCACATCAGCCCCAAGGCAACGTGCTATAGACTGCTGCGGTAACCTCCCGGGCAGGTGCCTCTGCCCCTGCCTCATGGGGTAACGACTGGAATCCCTGAAAACGGGGAAGTCGCACACACATGCCTCTCTCCCTCTCAGTAGCGGCAAGGGGAGTACATTTTTACTTCTAGACAAATCAGCTTTAAGACACCTGACGCTAATTTTAAACCAGAGAACAAATGTAACATTATCACTGTGGGGGAGTGGCCATGGGGATAGATTATGAAGCTGGCACTGGAATTCACAGTTTTAAATTCTCAACGCTCTTGAACAGACCATTCCTCTCAAATAAAACGGCTTCTTTCTCTCAGCCGTTCTCCCGATTATTATTCAGGCATTATACTTTGTCACTCTCGGGAATAATTCCACCCTTATTACACTGCAAATTAAGACTAAGTCCTGTTGGGCGGCAGTGCTACCCAGCTTTCATGTCAATGAAATTGGCACATAATTAAAGATGGGAGAAATTGCTTAACAATTTCCTTACTTGATGCCCAACACACACTTGTACTCAGATGTACGTGTTCAGGCCTTCTGTCTTTGGATGCTGTACCCCACCTCTCCTCCAGCCAATGACTTGGAGTTGGGCATCCATACCCTCTGCAGGAAAGCAACCCTGCACCTAGAAAAAGCCACCCATGCGTGTGACTGTGCATTGTTCTACCTAGGCCACAGGTGCCAGAAACTGAGAGACACCAAATTCCTCCGCAGGAAGTTAACTGTGTTTAACTGCCCGATAGCCCCACTCTACAGAGAGAGCCTAGCAGAACAACTTCCATGTTTGTGTCTCAGCTCTGGATGAAGATCTACCCTGTTTGACTCCCACATAATCAAGTCTCATAGGAACTCTTGGACAGGGCACCAGGCGACACTTAATAAGGTGGGGTGGAAATGATGATGCTTATCTACAGTAAAAATAAAGAATGTTGGATGTGGCGATTCATACCTATAATCCTAGGACTCAGGAAGTTGAGACAGGAGGGTTGCCATGAGTTCAGAATTAGCTTGGACTACATAGTAATAGTGGATCCAGGCCAGCTTGGCGTATAGAATGAGACTCTCTCAAACAAACATCAAAAACAACCAGACAGAAACACCAGCCAATCACATTAACAGATAGAAAAGCAAAACACCTAAATGTCACCTCTTGTTCTCTGTGCTGAGTGATAAGCCAGACCTCCTTTAGCTTCAGCCACCCTCTCTCCAGTGGCTGTTTCCCTTCCCAGGACTGGACACAGAGCGCTCTGTAGGGCTCAGGGAGTGAGGAAAGCCTACACAGTCTCTACTGTGTCTGTCGCATCCAGCCAGCATGCTAAACCTTTCCCATGATGAGAAGCTGTTGTAGGAAATGACCTGTGCTGGAAAGGTTGGATTTGGGAGAGTCCAGAAACCACAGACAATTTAACCGCCTTGTGTGAGTTCTGGGATGAACTCGGGGTATTGTGCACTCGAGGCAATCAAGGACTTTGCCACTAAGCTGTACCCAAGCCCAAGAGTTAACTTCTGATTGTCTGCAAGTGGATTATCCACTCGTCTCTCCTACCTCTTTTATTCTCCAGTTGGGAAAGAACTGTTCACTCAGTCAACAAGAACGGCTTATTATTCGTGGAGTAGTGTGCCACCCGGGAACAATAACAACATGTTGTGTCAGTGTGTCTGACTGCTCAAGGTTATTCTGTAGTGGATTTAAGGGCGGCTCCACAAGATGAACTTATGCCCGGTGCTGTTTACTGGGGCTAAGAACCTGTGGCTGAGACTGAGTAGGTCACAGGCCTTAAGGGAGCACCTACTAGCATTATGCTGTGAATGGCACAGTGTCAAATGGCTTTGTAAATACTTATCTGTGTAGCCGTAGAGTAGGGTAGCTCCCACCCTCATCAGGGAGCCTGCTTTTTTCAGTATGTGATACTTAATGCAGAGACCCTCACAACTGATCACACTGTAGCAAGTCAGAGGCTGTGGAGCAGTCAAGCCACCAACAGGGCAGCTGTGACACACACACACACACACACACACACACACACACACACACACACACACCACACGCTCAGAGCTCAGTTTAGGTGTGGGGTGGAATGATAAAAAGTGGAGGTTTCGGGAGACCGCTCTGAAACTGCGTTCTAGACACACAGGCCCACTGAACACATGAACTCAGAGACTGGGCTGCACAAGCAAGACCTGCATCAATTCAAATCGATCGAAATTCCAGCATGAATGAGGAGGGGCTCATGAAGTCTCAGCCCTAGATGAAGAGGCTTTGGGAGGCAGTGAGCATCAGTTTCCTACAGGGATGCAGGCCCAGGTAGGTTGTCTATTGCTCTAGTAGATGGCCTTGGTACATGCAGGGAGCACCAATTGGACTCGGTGGGTTGGGCTTTTTTTTTTTTTTTTAAGTATACACAAAGTTGGGATGGAGATGTGGGTGGGGATGGGGATGAAATTCATAAGGAATAAAGATATATTTTTAATTATTTTGTAGGACATGTACTCCTGACTTTATCTATTAGCATGAATAATTAGAAATTTCTTCTTCGGTTCTAAATGTTTTGTGCCTGCCTATCACAGATTCATGAGCGTCAGCTCTAACATAGCACTGTGACATGCCAGTTCCTAGCCAGCTCCATATATCCTAGATGACTAGAGAAGTCAATTACAGGGCACTAACAGATGCATGTTAGCTTTTCAGCTCACTTTCACATTTTGTTTTTCCAGACCAGGACACACTTAGAGTGTCCACTGATTTGAAAGAGCTAAGACAAAAAGTAATAGTTATTTTGTCACATACCTGACTCTAGAGCATTAAGCTATAATTCCAGCTGATATGAGCTAGGGCATGACAAAGCAGACATCTGCCAGCCATTTCCAGAGTCTAGGGAGTAGGAAGAGATGCAGTGCCCTTACCATGTCTCCAAAATAGACTGTGGTCATCTGTCCTGGGATCCTCCCAGACCACCCTGTCAGCAGCTCCTGGAGTGCCAGGCCGTCTCAGAGCCCCCCTGTGCATCTCTGCACAGCTTCACAGACACCTCCAGCAGCCCACACACGCAGGAACTTCACCCACCCTTCCCTACTGAAACCCCTCCAGGGTGTAAGACCCTTCTCACGCCACCCCTGTCATTGGTCAGTCGTCCTGGACTGTTCTCACTCTTTCCCAATTAGAATTTATTTCTCCCACTTCCCGCCCGTCCTGTGTGAAGTGACGTTCCCGCCCGTCCTGGTCACACAAGAGCAAGTGCAGTCCCTTCTTCTTTCTGATGCTTTGCCCGGCCTGCCTGGACTTGGTGACTGCCTAGCAAAGGGCTGGCTGAGTCAGTAACTGGGTTCCATGTTCTCCATTTAGTGTTCTGAATGTTCTCCTGGCTCTGAGCGACAAAGTTTAGCTGTGGCACGCAGTCAGCTTTCGTGGGGGAAATGTGTCCAGAGTATACGTGGTTCCATTCTGTAACTTCGAGCTACAAAACTAAGTGCCTACAGTTTATATTCCATAGTTCAATGTGGGTTTTAAATTCCCCCACCATTGCAGTTTTGGGAAAGCATACTTACATGGCAATGCCATTCCAGTGACATTTTATAAACACAGAGCAGTTTTACTCATTCAGCATCCAAAGGGTGATTTATGACAGAAATAAGGAGCTCCTAACACCCATGGGTACTGCTGACTTGGGACTTCTCTGACCCCTCAGGCGAGGGGTGGCCTCTGTCCGTATAGTTAACTCCACCATGGTGTCTATGGCTAACTCTGAGGTAGGCGATGGAGACAGGGCTCCCTGGGTCCCTCTTGATTCTATTCCAACCTCAGGTCCATCACAGAAGCTAGAGAGGTCTCGTTACTCTTTTAAAAGCCCGCCTTGCTGCTTCTGTAAATAGAGTCAGATAGTCCACACTGGGGAACTTCACTTGAGCTCCTGCTTTGGAGTTTCTACCAAAATCCAGTGTCAGTCAGAAGACCCCAGACAGCCCAGCAGACAGCAGTCACCAAACCCAAACAACAGTCATGGCCAGCGTAAAGATGGCCCGGTGCTTCATGAACTTGGGGCTGGCCTCTGAAGAAGGACACCTGCCCAGGGATAGTCTGGTTCACCCTACTCACCTAATTCCATTTGCCCTTCCCGCCCTCCCCCCAGAGACAGGTGAGAACACGGATTCTGACTAAATTAACTGGCAGGATAATTAGCCAGGACGTCTGATCTGGCTTCTCACTGCCTGCTGGAGCATTCACAAAGGAGGCAATTTTCTAAAGTACGTGATCACAGCAAACAGCGGTCACCTGGTGTGGATGTAGCTGTTGAGAGTTAGCTGGGCTTCATCCTGAAGAGCTGCGATGGCCGCGGCGTTCCGGAAACTTCTCAGTTCAGAACCGCTGTGAGTGGGAACTAGAAATGAAGATCCACCGAGAAACCATGAGAGTCAGGAAAGGGAGGACTGGGGGCTCACAGGGTACCGGAAGTGGATGGCAACCTGGAAACCATGCAAGCCTGCACAGCTATGGAAGCCCAGGCCGAGCTCAGAGTACCAGCCCCATGGAAACGCCACTGCCCCCCCCCAGCCCTCCACAGGCCACTCTAGAGCTAAACATTCAAGTAGCTGACCTAAGGGTGTGGCAAAAGGAGACGGGGAAGGCACTGAGGTCTGTCTGTCTGTGTCTGCTTACCAGCTTTGAAAGTGACGATGCATTTCAGACAGGCAAATTCAGTGGCATCTAATCGGAGCTGTCTGAACCCAGCCACCGCCTCCCGCAAAGCCTGTATTTCAGATATGATCTTGTTCAGCTTCTGGGAGTCTGTGTTGTCGCTGTTCATGCCTAGAATTGAAAAATATGGGATAAATACTCTAATATAAAGAAGGCATTTTCATGTTTTAATATTGATTTTTGACAAAATTCTGCATATCAATATCTACTCAATTGTCACTCTGAGATATCTGATTCCATGTAAACTGGCTATATTGTATGAAAGTTAATATAAAATCTTCTCTTGGATGATAACAAACACAGTAATTTGCATTTAAATAACAATGCAAGCAGTCATGAATACAACAAAACAACATTATTTGCATTTAAATATAGATTTATAAATGACAGGTATACTCTATTGTTCAGTAGGAATTTGTTATTCTTTACATGTTGTTCTTTTTTCAGTAATGTATTTTTATGGTAATTTCTACAACAAAGTCATTAAATTGTGCAATTCTTACCAGATACAGCCAGTAGAGTGTTAGCATCAACCGGAATGGCCCATTGTGCTATTCCTAGAACAAACAGTTCTCTCCAAGCATCTTCCAAAAGCATCAGCTGTCATACAATAGATGTATAATATAATATAGTGTGTAATTTATAAATTTATAAACAATTTCCATATGTAAATTTCCTTTAAAGTGTTTTAAATGCCTGTCTTGGTTTAAAAAAAAAAAATCCAAATAATCTATTTCCCCCTTATTTCCCACATTTTCTCTTTCTGAAGCTGTGCCTATAGACACATACATTTCACACTCAGCCATTCCAGTTCCACAAAGTGCCCTTCCCTCAGGAAAGGTTTACCTCTCAGGTCCTTGCCATGCCCTTGCCTGGTCACCTAGAAACTTCTCTAGAGATCCAAAATCCATAAAATGCCACCAGCAACTGAGCAGGTGGTACCCTCTGCTGTAAAGCACTGGAGACTCTGACTAAGCTTGTAGGTCAGGGTCCCCATCTTCCTGGAGAGTTGAGGGGGCTGGGAGATGGGGGGGAGGGAGAGGGAGAGATCACTAATTCCCAAGAGGCATGAGGGAAAATCAGGGTGTAATTATGTTAATCGGGTTTTGCTGAGTTTACCTCATCTCCCAGCCTGATTTTTCTGCGACTCATAAGTGGACAGCATCAAGGTGCTTGTCATTTTCATCCTAATAAAATGTGCTATTGAATATTTAAAATGAAAATCTAGCTCCTTTTTCCAAATTAATATACTGGATTCCACTTCACTGTAGTTTGCTTATTGTTGAAGGGTTTCCAGCAAAAGGCTAAGTGGCAGACAGAAAGTGAATTTTATTTGGATTAGAGTCTACAAATTCTTGTTTTCAGGAAAAAAAACCCAGCAAATTTATACATATATATGCATGTGAGAGAGAGTGAGTGGGTGTATGTGCATACAGAGAGGGGAAGTGAGAGAGAGAGAGAGAGAGAGAGAGAGAGAGAGAGAGCACAGAAAAGATTAAAGGGCGTCCAGTAACTCTAGTCAAAGACATTGCCTATTACCTTGAAGACAGTTCTCTATGCTTAAAAAAATTTTCAAATCCGGCAATGCTGGCTGGCTTGTATGAGATAATTTACTTAGAAAAGCTAAGAATGATGAGGGTTTGCAACTAAATTCACAATTAGGCTAAAATGTATAATTTTTAAAATGCTTCATTTTTTTATTTCAAGCTAGGATCTCAATGTGTGTTTGTCCCCTGTAGGGAGCATCTGGAAGGATGCTCTTATGATTAGTTAGGGATGAAAAGACTCAAACCCTTTGCTTTTAGAACTCTGTGTGGAATGCATACTCTCTGAGCATATGACCACCACTATCCAAATAAGAAAAAGAAGCAAAAAATTGCTTATTAGGCTTTTGAAAAAAATCATTAATTTCTGTGAGTGTCCTTAGCAGCCAGTAGCCATGGCTTCTCTGTTTCTTCCTTCCTCTTAAGATTAAAAAAAAAAAAAAATACATTGACAAGGACAACTTTTAATATTCCTAGCAAGACATTTTATGAGGTTTTTTGATGCACATGGTTTTCTTACTTCTGAACATCATTTATAACTAAAGAATTGTATAAAATCACTTTTTGTTGTTGTTGCCATTTCCAAAAGGTCTAAAAGAGGAAAGAATTGAGGGATGTCACATGGTGTCAGCATACTCTCCTCACATGTGAGGTCCTGGATCCAATTCCCCAGCAGACCAACAAGACACTAGTCCACAAGACATTGAGCCTCTTGGGTCTTCATGGTGATTAGCCACTAGCCCAAGCTGTGCACATCACAGTGGAGAATACAAATAAAATCTCACATGTAAACCCACTTTTCCTCAGCTTGAATGTCGTAAGAAAGCATCATTTTATCAATAGTTTTCCTTGTAGCCCAGGCTGACTTCACACTCCAGGTTCCCCTGTCTCAGCCTCCTAAATACTAGGGTTACAGCTGTGCATCCTTCCTCATACCTGGCTTATCTCCAGATTTTTAAAATTTTGATGCTTCAACTAAACTTTAAAAAGAGATAATGTACTTCCATACATGGTTTACATACAGCACATACAGCTACCCTGAAACAACATGGTTACGTTTCTAACAAATGACTCATTGGTAGATATTTTGAACCCCTAAAATGATGTTGACAAAGATAAATGGTTTCCCCGGGCTCAGAAAGTACTCCTGCATTGCCTATACCTACAGGCGACGTCCAACCTACATCGCTTGCTTCCTTTACAGCCCCCCCCCCCCCCCGTGCGCCATTGGTCATACCTGGTCTTGCAGAGACAATGTGGAAAAGGCCGGCACACTCTTAGCCCACTTGATGCTCATAAAGAGAAGCCTGGCAGCCGATTCGCACACTGACTCAGTGGCCACTTCATAGAGATACATTGGGGTCCCATTCACTTCGTGGGGATACTGGGAGGAGGGAGAAAAAATGTACACATGAGGGGAACTTAGCTCCGCCCGAACAGCTGACATCGCAGCCATTGCAGCGCTCCGCTCTGGCCAAACAGGGTGGGGGTGAAGGGAATCTGAGCTCCGCTTAGGATTCATTCGCCTCCAAACATCTCTATTTACAGGCTCTAGGTAGGGATTGCTGTTTACTGAGGGAGGCACGTTTCTGCTCTTTGGGGGTTCCTGGCTATTCTGTCCCCTGTGGTAAACTTTCCTTGGACCAAACCAAGTCCCAGGCCTGGCTCCCAATTTAGACAAGAAGTGCTTGCATTTGTGTAAATAAAAATAGAAGTGAAAAAAGTATAAATTAATAGGCATCCCAAACACAAATATGCATATGAGTATTTTTAGAAAGGATTAGTATATTATGGAAATATTTCAATTAGACATCTTAATCATTCACAGAGCTTTCCCATTCATAACTGACAACATATTCATAACACTACTTTCCAGAGCTTATTATACACATCAAGGGTAAGAAAGCAATATTAAATATTGTGCCTGTGCATGTGCCCAGGTGTTTGGCTTCCCTGCAGTGTGAGTGGCAGCTGGCCTCCTCTGGAGGGGAAATCCTAGCTTCTCCTTCAGTGGGGGCCTTGGGAGGAATCAGCTCCAGGGCCTAGGTGGCAACCTTCCCAGGTACTTGAGGCTGTGCTCCTGCTGGTAGGGCCAATCCTCCTGGGGGGGTCAGCCCCCCTAAGAGTGATCTCTACATTTTTCTCTCTCACTGAAATCGTCCAAGATTATAGATCCCAGGCACCTTGGGAGGCCCCTTCCCCCAGGTGGAAATAACTATTGTTCTGTTCAGTTCTGGCTTCTGGAAGCGTCTAAGGCTGCACTCTGGGATTAGACACCAAATCTGACCAGTTCGGCCTTCCCTAAAGGTGAGGTTTCTGGCCTCCACCCAGTGTTCTCGGGAGTGCGCGTTTGTAGCGGCCTGGAGTGTGATCTAGTGTGCTCCTTCGACTCAACAAGGAGCAGGAGACTTGGGGCATCTGGGAATGACTCCACCGTGCCTGCCTCAGCTCAGAACAGAGTGGGTCTGCTCCCTCCCCCGCATTGCTCAAGGAACAGTTTCTTTGGATCCGGCAAAGCCACTGACTGACCTTGGGCGTGGGTTGAGCCAGGCTCACGAGGGCCTGCCGTTCAGGGGTGGCAGATACAGCGGCCAACTCCAGGCTGTGGGGTTCCAGCTGTGTGACCGCAGTGAAGAAAGCGGGAGCCGGCAGCGGCAGAGCTGCGGAGGGAAAGTGTGCATTGGCCCCGTTGTCTTCCTTGTGCCCACGGAAGTAGAGGGCCACCTGCTTGCGGATGGTCGATGTCCGAGGCCCCCGCTCGTGCTGCACAGCTATGGAGACAAACATGGACACGGACCAGGGATCAGAGGCGCAGTGACACCTGGATGCAGCCCACAAGGTCACCCAGGAGCGAGAGGACAGAGCGCTTAGGCACTTCCTCCCCCTCCCCCCCACACCGGCACGGGTGGGAAGCAGGCATCCTTTCCACCCAGGGACCCCAGGGAAACCAGCGACCCTACAGACCTCTGAAGGAACAAGCCACCCTCGCTCCCACCACCAAAGAAAGAGAACATCATACACAACCAGGTCCTCAGAGATGGACTCCCTCCACCTCCAAGTCTCCCCCACAACTGGCTTTGGCCTCCAAGGCCCCAAGAGAAAAGAACCCCAGCCCATGGATCCTGACTGATGGGACAAGGGAGAGCCATCTCCGAGTGAGTGTGTGAGTGTCTGAGTGTCGGGAGGAAGGCAAAGGAGATGTGACAATTACCACCAACAGTTTAAACAAACAACTTAATTCAGGGCAATCTTCCTCTGCAGTACAGAGCATGACAAGTTGTCAACACACAAGTTCAACAGGTTGGATGCTCCCTCCTGCTTCCAGAGCAGCAGGAGGGGACATTCCAGACAAGCTCTCTGCCTCAGAGGAACCACTACTCCAAGGCTCACTCTGCACCCCAGGCTTTCTCTCATCCATCTTTGCCTATGCCCTGGCTGCCCTTGCCAAGTCCTAACCCTGGGAGGAGCAGGGAGTGTAGCTTGGACCACTTTGTAGGCCCTGGAACTTCTCAAATTTGGGGCTCAGAGGAGTGGGATGTTGGCAGTACCCTAAAGGTATCTCCAACCTGCCTCTCCAACCCCCTTTCTCTCTCTTCTGGTCCACCCAGAAAGGGCCAACTCAACAGGCATAATGAATTTGCCAACGAAGACTTGAAATCTTGTCTCTGTACTTGGAGAGTTCCAGAAAGACTTAAGAGATTGTGAGATCTTAGGGAGGTTGCTAACGACTCCAAGGAGAGGTGTGAAACCGGGTTAGGACCCTAAGCTGCAAGTCCACACCACCTGGGTGTTAGATCCCTGCCTTAGTGAGTGTGGTTTGGGGATTCCCATGTGGGCGTGGGGCTTGTTCTGGGAATACAGGTCAGCTGGGGACTGCTGCCTGTGGGAGGGAGGCCAGTTCCCAGCATCTGGAGAGAAGGGTTCTGTGGGAGAGTGATTTACATGCATAGGAGGACCATCTATGTTCTGTACATATAATTTAGTTACTACTCAATCAACATTAGGAGAATAAAGGCATGCACTGATTACCATCTTTGTTCATGTTGACTTCCAAACACTTCTTCAGTCGACAAGCCCTGCACTGGTTTCTGTGTGTCTTGTCTACCGGGCATCCTCCCTGGAACAGATCGCAGGCAGTCAGAGACCCCAGAGCCCTTAGGTGGGCACTGGAACCCAGTCCTGGGGTGGGAGGCCCAGCGTGGGAACTTTGGCCAGCCACCTACCCAGGGCACAGGTCCAGACCTAGTGAAATGGGAGGTCCTCGGGCATTCGCAGGGCCAGGTAAGTAAGAGTTGGGACAAGAAGACCAGCCCTTGGCCTCAGGGAGGTGGCCAAAGAGAACGGTCCGTCCTGATTTTCCAGATCTTCCTGGGACTAGGAGAGGAAGCTAAAGAGGGAGGTACTCAATAGTCACCCACCTGAGAGTACAGACGTTGCTTTTCAGGACCTAAGACAGCAACCTGGCCCTCTGCTCCACAAGAAGCTGGCCTGCCGGTTGGTGCTGGCACTGCCTTTGCTATCCTTTGCCTTAATGGCCTTGAGTCTATTGTCATGTTCTGAGAGAGCCCATTGCTCTGAAAGATAAACCCGGACCACTTAGGCTTCACTGCCCCATGCCCTTTCCTTTGCTTTTTGTGGTTAAACCATCCTTACATAACCCTGAGGTCCTAAGGTCTAGCCTCAACCTAGGTCAATGGGCCCAGCCATTCCTGGAATATGAGCCATCAGCCAGGGTTTTTAGAAGGGCAAGGCCTGCAGAAACAGTATTGGGGCAGAACTGAAGGCCTGAGGGAAACTCAGGAAGGCACAGGAGACACTGCCTAACAAGAGGACTATATACAATTAGCAATTAGCAAGATAAAGGGTAAAAAAGACAGTTCTGCTTTACAAATATTTATCTGGCAGGGATAAGCAATCAGATGTCTAATGTGTTATCTGTGAGGAAAGGGGGAGTATGAAAGTATTAGTCACTGGGCAGGATAGCAAGCCAAAGCTGTTTCACAGAGAAACCCTGTCTGGAAAAAAGAAAGCATTTGGCTAGTGTGGTGGTGCATGCATACCTTTAACTGAAGCACTCAGGAGACAGATAGATCTTGGTGAGTTCCAGGTCAGCCTGGAACTCAGCCTATTAGCCTGTTGGAAGCAGCCTTGCACAACATTGAGCTGCACTCCCAGACAGTGGGCTTTGGGGACAGTGTTCCTGTCCTACAGCAAGGGAGACATGGAATTTACTGTGTAGTCTTACATATGTGATTCTTCCACCTGGCTATCACAGATGGCTCAGATAATTTTCTTTCAGTGTTTGTTTGTGTTGGATGGAGCCATGTGACACTCCTAGCCTTATACACAGGAAAAGATTTTTATTTTGCTTCACAGTTTTAAATATTCAAAAACACTGAAGTGGGAATGAGTAATTTCCTCCCTGAAATATCCATCAGATAAACGACATGTACAGCTTCACGCAACCTTCTTCACCAACTAAAAGCAGGTCGGCTTGGGGTAGGGATATAACCCACAGCTCATACCCAGTGTGGAGCCACACCCAACCAAACCAAAAGCAAGATATGTTCATTTGTTTAAAGTAACGGTAGATGGATGCTCATAATGACTTCTAAATGTCAGCATGGCTGTTAATAAGAAAGTGAAATGGTCTTTACTTAGTTTTAGAACAAGAGAAGGACATACATTTTTAGTTCCTGGAAGAAAGTTAGAGTGTATTTGGCCATCAGCAACATAGTTCACTGCTAAGAGTTTCAAATTATTTATTATTACATGTCGTTGAATGCCCAATTGGAATATCTTCCCCAGTATTTTAATAAACATGTAAAAACAAAATGTCTCAAGTGGGTTTTCAAATCATATCAAATGTATATAAGTATCTGGGGCTGGTGAGACAGAGCAAGGGCCTCGGGTTTGACTCCTTTATTTATTTTATTTTATTTGTCTGGGAAGGGACACGGGCCTGATGGATCTGCTTTCAGCCCTTTGCAAGCACTTCCAGACTGATAAAATTTGTCTCTGAGTTGACAGCCAACGCCTCAAAAAGCATAACATCTCAGAGTTCCCGATTCTGTCTGTTGCATACAAGTATAAGATAATGTGGCCTGGTTGGTGGCCCATAGCTGAGGTTGAGGCAAGAAGGTCAAGAGTTTCAAACCAGCCAAGGCCACAGACCAAGGCCCTCCTCAAACAACAACAACAATCTAAGTAGATACCTGTTCCAATCTGGTGTTCTAATGTGACATCGATGAGTTAGACCCTGAGAACCCATGCTAACCAGTCATAACCACCTATCAGAACTGACTAAGAGCAGGTGTTACAACAGAGAGAGAACTCACTGTAAATCACTAGCACCGATGACTATGTGAGTTGATATGAATCCTGTACACAGTCAGTGGGTGTTTACATTATCTGGTTGCCAGAGGATGCCTCTTGACTAAAAGGCACTCTTGGGCATCTTCCCAGAACGATGAGGCCTCTCCAAAAGATGAGCAAAGTGTGGGACCAGAAGGCTGATCTCCTGGGTTGCCATGAGCCACTGAACTGGGAATGGAGTCACAGGTGGCTCCTGCTCACTCTGTTGGAAGCTATAGCTGGGCTCAGCTCACTCCCTAACTGCCCTGTCTCTGAGCCTGTGCCAGACTGAACCAGTACTCCGTAATCTTGTAAGCAGAAAGGAGTCTGAGAACTTGATGGGGTCCTAACTTTCTCTGAGCACCCCCCCCTTCTTGCTCACGCGGAGCTTTCTGAGTCACTCATACCTGCCCACTTCCAGAGCAGCCCCACAGCTGCAGAGCTGAAGGGACCCAGCGGCTGGCAAGCACCATGGCTTTCAAGTAGCCAGCGTTTACTTTGGAGTCTTAGCTAAAGGTAGTCTTGGCCCTGGCTCCCAGGCACCATCCGTGGTTGCACACTGAGCTTGGCTGCTGCCAAGAATGGGACTGTGGAGGGTGGGCAGCCCAGTGGGGTCCTTTCTTCTGTTTGCTCCTTGTTCCTTCGTTTCTAAAGTTCCTTGAGTTTTCATGCCGGCAGGGCCTTACTCAGTGTCAAAATGTGACCAACCAAGGAATTAAAAAAAAAAAAAAAAAAGTGTAGGAAAGCGAGGGCTTTCTGACTCTCCCGTAAACTCATCCGCCTTCCTTAACCCTAAGTGGCATTTCCAGAGTCAAAGGGGTCACCCAAAGTCGAGGCAGGGAGGAGGGAAGAGGACCCAGGTCAGGGAATTCGGAGGAAGTCTTGGCAGAAATGGGATGGGTGGGGCGCCGAGGGGAGCCGGGCAGCTCAACCCTGGGGAGTACCTGGTTTCCAGACTTGCAGACATAGGTCCTATTCCTCCGGATGCTCCTCTTGAAGAACCCAGAGCAGCCATCGCAAGCGTAGACCCCATAGTGCTTCCCGGAGCTGCGGTCACCACACACTTTGCAGGGGATATCTAAAATGCGGCCTGAAACCGCAGGAAAGACAGTGTAGACGGGAAGGGGTGAGAGGGAGCGCAGGGAGTAGAAGGGGGGAAGGGGAGAGGGGGAGAGAGATGCTAAGCAATCTGACCTCTGAGGGGATTAGCATCGGAGCTGCGGTAAAAGCAAATAATGAAGAGATTTTATAGCCAAACTTTTTTTTTTTCTTGAGCAAGTGTCAGCTTCCTACAATGAGCGTTATTCATGCACCGCTACGTGTATTTGGGTCTCCTCTAATCGCCAAGACCCATTTTGGAATAAAAGATTACAGCAGGCCCGGGCAGCAGCTCAGCCCGCCGCTGCCTTTCTGCTCTGCTGAAAGTTTGGCCGACTCCCTCCTCCGCTCTTGCATTTAACAGAGAGAGAGAGAGAGAGAGAGAGAGAGAGAGAGAGAGAGAGAGAGAGAGAGAGAGAGAGAGAGAGAGAGAGAGAATGAGAGAGAGAGAATGAGAGAGAGAGAATGAGAGGAGAGGTTGTTAGTAAGCGCACAAGGAGACAAACTTGAAATGTAAAAGGGAAAAAAGAAGAAAATCAAACACTGCTGGAGCGGTGGATGGCAGCTGGAAGGCAATCGAGTTTTCTCTGAGCTGAGCCCGGAAGGCAATCGAGTTTTCTCTGAGCTGAGCCCGGCGCTTGTTATTATTAGGATTATTATTGTGATGCTAATCCCCAGATTATTAATGATAATAAGGGTAGTGGTAATTGCCCAACTTTCTCTTTACCTATGGAAAAATGCTCAGTACTTCACGTTTGAGAATTATTTCTTTTAGGAGAAAGTTGAGGGGGAGGGAAGTAATCAAGGGTCTAGGAGGAAGAGCTACCCAATTTGTGGCTTCGAGGTGGGGTAGCAGGGGGATAGTCACCTCTGCGTCCTCTCCTTCAAGTCCTTTCCCCCACCCCCTTTCCTGGGGAGTCTTTCTCTGCATTTTTTCTGCTGCATTTTGAGGAGGGAGGAGTGCTTTTGTTTTTTGGGTTTTGTTTGTTTGTTTTGTTTTTTGTTTTTTTGAATGACACCAGCTTTTCTGGACTTGCTACCCCACACACGAGAACTTTGCTTGGACTCTCTGAGTCTGGAGAAGCCTCGGCCCGGGAGGAGTGTTAGGTAGAGGAGAATGGAAAGGGGTGTGTGTGCGTGTTTTCTCTCAGGTTCTAGTCCAACAAGTGCCTGAAGCAATTTACCGACGTAGAAATTCTTCCGAAAACAAAGGGACTATTTGTAAAAAGTGTTAAAGTCATTAAAAAAAAAAACACCCTTAATGACAATTATCACCACCTGATTTTCCTTCCCACCGCTGCGGGCCAAAGGCGTTTCAGTCCGGGCCAGGCAGTTTCGGGCCTCGTGGGAGCTCGGCAGCCGCTCTGGGGAGGAGAGGCGCTGCCTGTGGAGCCTGGGAGGCGACGCTGGGTAGGAACTTACTCCCGGGTCGCGGGGCGCCTGGGCGGGCTTGCACGCGGGGCCCTGGCCTCAACCTCAGGTGGAGGGGGGAGAGTACGGGGGACCCGGCCGGCAGGGGGAGGTCGGTGAGGACCCGGCTCAGCCGGGGTAATTACAACCCTGCCGCAGCACCTGCCTATAGAGCCACCAGTGACCCGTCAAAAAGAGTAGCATGGGAATTCGGACGGCGACAAAGGCTGGCGGGGGGAGGCATTCGGCGTTGCGGCCACCGCTTCGGCGCTCCCTCTCCCGCAGGGCAGGAGCGGAGATTGTTGGGGGGGAGAGGGAGGGGTTGGAGAGAACCGAGTGTAGGTCTTGTCCTCCACCCCCTGGGGCCCGTCACCACTCCCCAAACAACGCGCGGTCGCGCCTGAACCTCGGTCACGAGCTCTGCTGCATTGCACTCAGTCTCGCTCTGGAAACAGTAGACGAGGACCTCACTTCTTCAACCGTTCTCCCTGGCGGCGAAACCCAGGCTCTCTGGGCCCAGCTACCCTCCTCTTCCCCGCGATGCCTAGGCAGCCCTTAGGGAGCAGTGGCAGGCCCTCCGGTCCAGGGTTCCCATCCAGCCTGGAGGCTAAAGTCATACGTATATTTCTGGAGGCGAGCGAATAGACCAGTGCCGGGTGGGTGACACTTAACTGGCTCAAGGGCCAGGATGCTCGGCTGTCACCGCTTGCGCTTGCTGGCCGGCCCTGTTTAAGGACTGACCAGGCAGAGGAGGAACTGGGGGGGGGGGGGATGCGCTGGGGCGGAACACGGAAGGGAGAGAAGCGAAAATTCCAGGGCATGGAGGGTCGACGCCTCAGACTTCGCCACCCAGCCACGTTAAGGTGACTTGGGGTCACGGACAAGCTGGCTGACTGCTGCAAAGCTCCTCTCTTTTAGCAAGCCGAGCGAGCTCAGACGTGAGTCAAGCCGAGTTTCCTGAGGCTGGAAAACGGTTCTTAACTTCCCTCCCCAGGGGGTCCCCTCGGGGCTTTTTGTGTGTCATAATTGCCTAAAGATATATGGCAGCTTCGATTACTGTAATTACCATCACAGGCTGTTGAAAGAAGTTAGTCTGGACTGCAAGGGTGACTGGCCAGGGTCTTGTTACCACCCAGGCGGGGATCCGGGTGACAACGCTGTGCTCTCCAGAAGATGAAGACCTCCCTGCCCCGCAGGGTCCAGACCCTCCCCGCTGCTCGCAGACCCCCTCACCGCCTAGGCCACTGGGCCGCAAGTTCCCTGCTGGCGGCAGCCACAGCCTGAGAACCTCCTCGATGAAGCGGCGCTTTTAGCAGGGACTTGCCGCCTTTCCCGGAGAGCCATCGCGACCTAAATGGAGGCTCGAGGCCTTCAAGGCCAAACTCGGACTTAGCAAGTCAGAAAACTCAGGTTTCCCTAGAAAATGCCCTCGCACATCATGTACGCACTGTGACCCCTGCCCCCCGCCCCCTCCCAGCCCCAGTCCGGAGAGTCTGCTGCGTCTGTCTAGTTTACTAGTTTACGAGCCGGGGTGCTGGGCTGGGAGCTGGGCTTCTCTCCTACTCCTCCCCACTTTTCACGTTCTCTGGAAGCTCCAAAACGGCAAAAGTATCAAAACTATCTTTACTGTCAGAGACACTGCCCCAGAGTGAACGTGCCAGGAGACCAGCCTAGGCCCTCCAACGTCAGTTTTTGCAATGAGATTTGTGATGCAACCGGAGTGGTCTCCTCCTCTGCTTCTCTTGGGAAAACACCTAGGAAAACATTTCGTGTGTGTGTGTGTGTGTGTGTGTGTGTGTGTGTGCCTGCATTACTTCTGGGAGATCCGAACAGCTAGGGCATGGATAGGCCAAGGCTAAGGGGAACCGCGGTCCTGTCACAGAGTGGTGGTACCCTGAAGCTATGGATTTGGTTCCTTCTCTTGGCCCTAGCTCTGAACACTTCCTTTCTTCTGTTTTGTTGACGTTCACTTTATTCTATTTTTTAAACTCAGCACTCAGACCAAAACAAATGCACAGAAAGAGGGAGGGAGGTGGAGGCTGGAATTGCTCCCATGCTAAGTGAGACTTCATCATCAGTCCTCAGGAGTAGCGAGGACTCTCCCAACTTTTCAAAGACTCGGGACAATGAGGGCAAGTGAAGGGGGAGGAGGCGGGAAGGAACTCACAGAGAGCGAGCGCCAAAAAATGCTATCGGAGAAAACAACACGGGTGGTTGGAGATCTCCGGGGTGTGGGCACTCTGCACAGACCCTAGAACTCACAGCCTCGGGCCTGCAGAAGGCGGGAACTGAAAAGCCGCGGGGAAATCGGAGCACCCTATAGGCACCTTCCCAACGCCGGATCAGGCCTAGGCAATCTCAGGTTCAGCCGATTCTGTGCTCGCAAATGCCCTAGCACAGCGGAGTAGATCTGCATTCCTGTCTCGGGAAGTCGGCAGAGATCAGCTGCAGCTGGCCGTTCCACCGGAGAGGAAGTTGGCGGAAGGGAAAGAGTGCCCCAGTGAGCAGGCCGCGGACTCCCGCCAGTGCTGGGCTCCTGCTCGGAAAGTCCCTGGGATTAGGGATTTGGTCCTTTCTTTGCTAGAGTAGCTCTCCATACTTTACATTCCCCAGTTATGACCTACGCGGATTTAGGATTAAGGAAAATGTGACTTTTAAATGGTTTTCTGCTTCCCAGTTTTGCAGGATTATTTGAAATAGCTAGAAATGGGGTGCAAAGCATTCCATTCAAAATCCGCTTTGCAGAGTTGTTTTGCGCTCTGGAGCTCCGAGTTCTGAGCGGCTGCGTTATTATGCGGCCGGCTGGAGATGCGGCCCAGTTCCCGCCCCCGGCTCACCCTTTCCCACCCTCAGCACCTGGCAGCTAAATAGAACCCACTCGCTGGACCGGTGGGCTGCAGCGGGTCGCGACTTTCCCCACACGCCAGGAGACGGGGGGAAGCTAGCATCCAGAAGCAACGAAATTGCTCTCTCGGTTTCACGAAAACGCTCCAACGCAACAGTCTGAGGGGAGCTAGGCCAACCGACTCACACGCCCGACAGAGTCCCACCCTGGGGCTCAAATTCACAGAGCTCGGGGAAGGACCTCCCCGGCCTCCCAGCCTGCCCTCCCCAGGCCACGCGCCGGGCCCCCCCCCAGGCTGCTGGAGAGGTACCCACTTGTTGATCCGGCGGGCTTGCTCATGCTGGCGGTCCCTGGGCGCAGCGGTTGGTGGGCACTGCTGGAGTCCCGGCCCACAGCACCCACGTCGCCGCCGGGCGCCGCCGCCGCTCTCCAGCCGCCCTCCAGCCTGCAAGGCTCCCGGGCGGGCGGGACAGGTGGCTATTGGTCGCGCGCCGCCCTGCTCTCCCGGCGCTCAGAATTCGTTCCACAGTGGAAATGGAAGCATCCTGAAGTTTCTTCCCGGCTCTAGCAAAACCTCAGCCGCTCGGGATGAGGCTTGATACGGACACAGGCTCGGACAGACAGATGGAGAGATGGACAGGCAGGCTGAAGGGGGAGGTCAGCACGACGGGACACTAAAGGACAGAGATGGAGACGCGGAGATGGTCTTCCTATGGAGCAAAGGGGGCAGGGTTCCTCTCCTTCCCCATTCCTGATACTCAGTTTCCAATCTCTCCCTCCACGCAGGCGTGCGGGGTGGGCAGATCTCTACAGACCGCTGCTCTTCTATCGGAAGACGAAAATCACAGCCTTGGTCTCAGACGCAGATGAGCTCCGCGCTGCCGATCCCGGGCGCCGACCGGGGAAACTAGATTGCTGGGAGATCCTCCAAGGGAAGAGGTGGCCAGGTCCGAGTTTCCGGGGACAGCCGCGCACTCAGCGGCGAAGGGTCCCCGAAGTTCATTACCCTGTGACTTTGTGCCTGTGGCTGCGGGCCGGGTCTCGGGTAATATCTCCAGAAGCGCTCTGACAGGCAGCCGCGGGGAGGGGAATAGGGCGTCCCTGGCCCACTTAGCTTTTCCCCCAACTCCTGGCGGGGTCTGACGTCAGCCATGTGCGGGGAGGAGATGGGAAGAGGGAGGGGGTTAAATGCTAATGATATTAATGAACCTCCAAGCGGCTTCCAAAGAAAATGCAGGCGCTCTGGGAGCTGACGAGTTAGAGTGTGAATACGCGAGTGCGGCTCCGTGCGTGCGTGATGGTGAGGACGGCGCCGCTCTTGCAATAAAAATGAATTTTTATATTTCACGGCAAGGGAGAAGGGGAGGGGTGACGGGGCTCTCTCAAAACGCGTCCCCCACCCCTCTCTCCAGAGTGCCAGACAGATAGATTCGTGGAAGAAATTGGGTGGCTGTGTCTATGTGTGATTGTGCGCGCCCGGACATGGTCATGTGAGTTAGTTCATTGTTGGTCCCGCGCCCCTTCTGTTGGGTAAAACTTGGATCTGGCCCGAGGTGAGTAATTTATTCCTTTTGCAACTATCTGTGGAAAGCCAGAGCTGAGGACGCGGACTTGGGGCCTGGGCTGGGTGGGGTCTTGCAGTCCCTCGGCCTTGGCGTGGCGGGTTTGGGCACGGCGGCGGCGGGGAGGCCTTCTCCAGCTTCTTGCAAGCAAAACTGGCCCACCCGGAGCTGGCGGAGTCCTCTTGCCTCCATTACGTGCACTGGAGCTACTGGGAAGCGAAGCCTTCCCTCCAGCAGTCGGTCCCCAGCGGGCAGCTCTGGCTTCTCCTTGCAGGCCTGGAGACGCCCGAGAGCTCCGCCACCTTCCTGCCCACCGGGATCGCCTATCCGGAATTCCAGAGCTCTCTGGCGTCCCGGTCGTGGCGCGGCGCGGGGACAGCGCGCGCCGAGGGAGCGGTGACCCCCGTTCTCTAAGAGATTAATTCTATTTAAGCTCCCTCAGCAGCTTGAACTTGTCGAACAAGAGCTTGCCAGCCTCTTCTCGGGGCGTGGGCCCGGCCAGGGATCAGAGGTCACGCCTCCAGCTCGGCCCAGAGTTGGGGGAGGGGAGCGGTGGTCAGCGGTCCTCAGGGTGCTGGCTCACCCTCGCTGCAACTCCCTACCCTCAGCGCCGCGGAGTGCTTCCAGTGCCTGCTGGTGTCCCCCGAGTGCCCGCCGGGCGCAGCAGGTCCAAGGCCCGGGTCCCAACCCACGAGGGCCGTGCCCTGAGGTCGCCGGCTGCAGCACGTGATCCCAACTTTCCCCGGCTACTGGAGCCCCCAGGCAAGGGACTCTGAGCACCACACACAGCAGCCGCCCCGCACGGGGCGCGGCCACCCCAACAACTGAGAGAGAGAGAGAGAGAGGCGGGTGACGGTTTCCCTTGCCACCTCTCCCCTGTGGTCTTACAAACCAGGACGAGTTTAGTAGGTACGTGGCAGGCGAGAAAATTACCTTCCCCACCCCGCCCCCGACACTTTGGGCTGCCAGCCAGTCCTGCTCTAACCCCAGCTTAAACTCGAACTCGGTACCCAGAGGAGAAAGGCATTTCCGGCTAGAGACAGGGTACCAGACTTCAGCTTTGGGTCCTCTGGTCTGGCTCTTGCCAGAAATCCAATAGTTGCTGCCGCCAAAACCACCATCGCGATGTGGTGGCAGAAGGGGGCGCTTGGTCAAGGACAAAGAGCTTCAAGTGGAACTAATTTGTCCCAGGCAAAGATGAGGGCAGATGGTGGTGTGGATGGACCTGGACCTGTCTTCAGGGAGAAATGTTAGGATGTGTGGGCGAGAAGAGAACGAGGGGTTTTCAGGTGCCCAGGCTGGGACCTGGTAGAAGGACACACGGCTCTCCTGGATTTCAAATGACCTCTCTTGCCTGAGATATGAGCCTGATGACTCAGTTGCAGACACCAAAACTTATGTGTGGGGAAATACCCCCAAGCTCTTCAAAACTGTCCCCCAACCAAAATTGGAATGTTCTTTCTCTAGGCACTAACTCTTAATCAAATTAGGTGCCAAGAAACCCACTGAACAGGCAAGGGTGCACACCCCACCCCCACCCCACACAGAGAACTATTCAATTCTGGCAAACACCATAGGGGCTACCCACCCTGCAGCATATGCATTCTGTGTTCTGGGCGTCCGACTGTAATTATCCCCGTGCTTTGCATAATTCACAATACAGTTCTGAAATCATAGTGATGACTTTCTGGCATGATTGGTTTGGTGATAAAGGCAGCAACTAGCTCCAGAATAGGCTGGCGGGCCTGAGCTTCAACCCCCAGATCGGCAGAGAAGCCTGGAGCTCAGAGGCTGCCTGGCCTCTGCTCACGCCAACCGGCTGAAGGCCACAGGGACCCTGGCTCTAAACTGTGGAAATCTGGAGCTAATTGGGACACAGCTCAAAGAACAGAATCTTTAGTAGAGCAAAGACTGACTTCATTTCCCATCCACTGGCCTCAACACGCTGCCCGCCCCATAGGAGGTGCTACAGGATGTGGCAAAGAAAGGAGTCATTGGCAGACTTCCCGAGGGGCCTGCTTCAGGCACTGCAAGGAAACCAGGAGATAGGAATCTGCCCCAGCTCACCTTGGACAAGCGACTAGACCTCTCTGGTCTCCAGATTGAAATTTATAAAAAGGATTGTGACTTTGTTCAACTTTCAGTCACAAAAATTTTCCGCTATGAGAGTCTTAAGGGAAACGATTGACAAAGGCAAGCACCGCCCATCCCAGAGACATCTTTAACAGGGACAAAGATAAGTTTACAGGTTGGCAAAGGGAAAAAGCCAAACCTAGATGTCCTCCAGGACCAGGTCCAAAGCTAGTCTCTCATTTCCTCTCTCAACCCTTTGTTTGGGAGACCAGGTCTTACTCACTAGGTAGCCCCTGCCAGTGTAGAACAGGCTGGCCTCACAGAGATCCGCCTGCCTCTGCCAGCCCTGCCCATACCCACTAGCGCTCTGGGCTCTGGTTCCTCCCTCCCTCCCTGTGAGTCTGTTGCCTTCAACCTAAGCAAAAGCTGGCAAGTCCAGCCAGACATATTATATCGCAAGAGAAACATAAGAGGGAGAATCCACCAGTCCACCAAATTCATCAGTGAGCTCCCACTATGTGCCACCTGGGGATGGAGGAGATTAATAGCCTGGGCCTTTTCTTATCAAAGAGACTATGGGGGCAGACACACCAAAAATAGTGTTGGTGGGCTGGGAGTGTGTGTGGCTCAATGGTTAAGAATACTTCCTCTTCCAGAGGACCTGGGTTTGAGTCCTTGCACGCACCTGGAAGCTCACAACCATCTGTAACTCCAGTCCTAGGAGATCTGACGCCCTCTTCTGGGCTCCATGGGCACCAGGCATGCATGCAGGCCAAACACCCATACGCCCAAAATGGTATTTTTAAACATGGTCTTTAGATTGAGGTAAATGTAGGAAATGCTGGGGAAGAAGTATACAAAAGTCCCCAGATCAGAGAGCAGCACCATGGGTCACACGAGGTCCGGGAAAGCTGCCCTAGGGTTCAGCACAGTCTCTGAATATACTTCCTCGCTCTTTCCTCCAATAGAGAGCCCTGTTCAGCCAGTTTAAAGCAGGTTCAATTCCTGCTAACTAGCAGGTGAGAGGAAGAGTCTGAGGCCTGGGGTGTGATGCTAGCTCTGATGCCATCCACTGGCCTTTCCCTAGGTGGTGCCATGTTCTCCCATCTCTCAGGCTTCTTAATGAAAAAGACCCACAGAGCACGGAAAGGCTGCTTCCCTAGCAAGCAGATCTGTTGAAGTTGGTGGGGGAACTCAGAGCCCTTTCTTTATTTCCTGGATGCTTGTTTGCAAGAAAGAGGAAGGTGTTTTTCATCATGTCTAAGTTGTACTGAGAGTCAGCCCCTGGCTGCGGCTTGCCCAGTAGTCATGGTGCAGCAGGTGTCCAGTAAGGTTTTGTTAAGTTGCAGGCTGAAAGACCTTTTGCCAGGCTCTTCACGCGTTGCTCGGCTGCAGACTCTACTAAGGAAAGAAACACTGAGGACAATCCAGAAAGCAACTCCAGCTCCTCCAGAGCACAATGAGCACTGAGTTGTGGACTTTTTCTCAACACAATCCAGAACAGTGCTGCTTAGGGCGCCCCGTTACTTTGCACTAATGGGAAGACATGTGTATCTGGCCTCTGTGACAGACCTGTTCTCTCAACAAATTCTGTCTCTGCATTTACACACACACACACATTACACACACACACTCACCACTTGGTGGAAGAAATTCAGTTCTAGTGTCAAAGAGATGTGGCAGCTGGGTCTCACTGCACCTTGCACTAACGATATTCAAATAGAATCAGCTGCAGCCAGGCTCACCGCAGTGGGACTTACAGAATGGGATACATAAGTGAACTTATTTGGTGGGAGTCCCAAAGCCACTACTATGAAACAGGCTTGGGTGAAAAGGTGTAGGAACAGGCTTAAGGTTTCCAAACCTCCTGAGGCTCAGCAGAGTTTGACTTCTGAGGCAAAAGTCCCAACTCCCTGGGAGGCTCCCTGGGAGGGAGAGATTGGCTACCCGTCCTTCTTCAACCTCTTCACTTTCTACAACTTACCCGTCAA